GGGTATTAAAATTTAATCTCATCGCTTAAATTGAACCATTATGCTTCTGAGTTGGGCCTTTAATACAAAAGCAATTTCTACATGATAAACAGAAATAAATTGCGCAGTTTCCTAGATACCTCTCCCATCTTCTCCACAATAGTCAGGCAAGATAAAACAGTAACTTTCCAAGAAAGCCATTAGCATGGGAAAGATGCAAGACAGCCCCCTACAGAGGTGGCATGCAGGAGGAGAACCGTACACAAAATGTCCGTTTAAGCTAAACTAGAATATAGACAATACGGGTGGCTCACCAAAAAAAATAATTCTAAAATAGCATGGCTCACAGCCAGCTCATAACCAAGTTCAAGCAAGATTAGATACAGTACATCATCTAAGGGTTGCCAACCTCCAGGTGGCACCTGGAAATCTCCTGCTATTATCACTGACCTCCAGGTGACCAAGATCTATTCCCTTGGAGAAAATGGCTCCTTTGGTGGACTCTATGGCATGATACCCTGCTGAGGTCCCTTCCCTTCCCCAGGTTCCACACACACCCCCGCCAATCTCCAGGTATTGCCCAACCCAGAACTGGCAACCCTAAGGTACAGCCTGGAGATTCCCCATAGTTACAACTGATCTCCAGACAACAGAGATCAGTTCTTCTGGAGCAAATGGCTGCTTTGGAAGGTGGACTCTATTGTATTTTACCCTGCTGAGATCTCTCCCCTCCTGAATTCCTGCTCTCTCCAGGCTCCACCCTCAAACCTCCAGGAACTTCTCGCTCAACCTAACCATCTCCATAATTCTTTTTGAAAGTACTCAACACAGAACTTATCTGACACCAGTTTCTGAGTTCATGAGCCTTTAACTTGACCTTGAATTGTCTGAAAATCTGAAAGTGACATTTTCAGCAAGACAGGAGAATTTAGTTTCACTGATGGATGGTTCAAAACACAGTTCACATTTTACAATATTAGTGCATTCTAAGAAGCGGGGGGGGAGAGAATCTTTAACACCCCTTCCTATATTAGAGCTTTCCATAAATAACCACTTTGTATAATCAGTGAGGAGGGCAAGGGTACAAAAATAAAAGCTTTCCATACATAGAATAAACTATCATTAAGCCTGCTGTTATGTTTTCCAGCCCGCAGTCACGTTGAGTATTTGCTTCATGTAGCCAGCACACAAAACAGATATCCCCACAAGGCACATGGCTTCATTTGCACAGAACAGCAAACCATCAGACAGTCCGTAATTAAGAGCAGCAACTGAACATTTTTATTACACCTTCTAATGTCTAAGCCGTTTACAAGAGGGAGATTGTTTTGGCTAGCTTGAAAAGGAAATTTTCCTAGAATACAGCACAGAAATATTCAGCTCAGCACCCACTGAAGGAAACTAGAAAGGGACCTATGCTTTTTTTGTATGGTATTGTTTTAACATCAGTTGCAGCAAACCACAGAGGAACAGAAATGAAAGCGTTCTCCTTACCACCAACTTCAACCTGTTCTAACATCAACTATGTTTATGAATTAAACAAAAACATGTTTGGATGTGACTTTCAATTGATACTATTGACTATACACTAGCTCTAAACAAAGAGCAGCCATTCGTATTTTAGTACAAAGGGGAGGCAGGCACAGAACCTCCTCCCATCCTTTATGCACAAAGTATAATTATCGGTGTACTCTACCATAAGTAGCCCCCCTATTTCTCCTTTGCACCACACCCAGTGGTATTCATCGAAAACATAAGAGAGCTACGGAGCCAGTGCCAGGAACGCAAACTCACTTCATGTCCCTCCTTTCCCATGTTTGCCTTAACCATGACTTAGTATCCCACCTGAACAGATTGTAAACCATGATTAATACTAACCAGGGTTCACAAACCTGTGCCAATCATTCGTTTCAAATCCTAGTTAAAAACAAGAACTCTGGCCAGCATGAGAAATAATCAGCATCAATGTTGATGTAACACCTACCCATAAATACAACCAATGAAGAAGAGGGGGAAGGAATTTACACTACAGACGAGAGTACAGTGAGAAAGAGAGCATTCATTTCCCAGACTGATGCCCAACTGGCAAGTCAGATTCAAGGATTAATATAACAGGAACCCACACCATCCGCAGCTACCCACTCCAGACACTGTCAGCACCACCCAGTGATGGCGATGTAATCGCTAGATGATCTGGTTTGATCAGGTGGTCTATATAGCCAATAACCACATTGTACTACATTGTACTACACTGCGGTGGCTCAAGTGGTTAAGACGCTGAACTGCAGGCTGTTGAAGGTCGGTAGTTCAGCAGTTCGAGACTCGAGTTGCCGCATGACAGAGTGAGCTCCCATCTCTAGTTCCAGCTCCTGCCAACCTAGCAGTTCGAAAGCAAGAACTTGCAAGTAGATAAATAGGTACCACTTCGGTGGAAAGGTAACAGCGTTCCGTGCACCTTGGTGTTTAGTCATGCCGGCCACATGACCACGGAAACGTCTTCAGACAGCGCTGGCTCTTCGGCTTTGAAATGGAGATGAGCACCGCAACCCTAGAGTCGGATTCGACTGGCTTTCGAGCAAGGAAACCTTTACTACACTCTGGCACATTATCTGAGCAAGTTTCTGGAGAACAGGCTCATCTATTACACTGTGACACACACACACCCTCCACACAATCAGCAATGTTTAGAAAGCATCACACTTTCTCCCGCTATCAATCACATCTCCAAGTTACTGTCAGCTTACGACTCCACCATCACATACATGAATGTGCTCTTACATATACTGCTCTTATGTACATCACTTCACATCAACTTACATTAAATTTCATCTGCCATTTTGTTGCCCAATCACCCTGTCCGGAAAGATCCATTTGGAGTTGCTCACAATTTCCTTGTGTTTTTACCATCCTGAACAACTGAGTGTCATCCACAAAATCTGCGACCTCACTGTGTTACTCACAGTTTCAGGTTAGGCAATTTATGAATAATTTAAATAGCATTAAGTCTCAACACATATCATTGGGGACCCCTATTGCTCACCTCCCTCCACTATGAAAACGATCCATTTGTTCTCATCCTCTGCTTCCTCTCACCCAACTATTACTAGCCCATGAAAGGACACACTCCTGTATCCCATGAATGTTAAGTTTACTCTGAAGTCTTTGCTGAGGCACCTTGTCAAATCTCTTTGGAAGCCCAAGTATACAGTGTCTACCAGTTCACCCCTGTCTACTTACCTGCTGACTATCTCAAAGAGTTCTAAGAAGTTACTGAGGTAGGACTTCCAGAGGCCATACTGAGCCCTCTATAATTTTATTTATTTATTAGAATTTGTCGTTGCCATTAACCTGAAGGGTCTCACGGCAACTTACAACGATAAAACAAATAAGGTAAAACAACATAAAAACAAATAACAAATATAAAATATTAACATTAAAATATTACATTATTAAAATGCGAGGCTATCACCGTACTACTGTTAAAACAGCCCACCATACCACTATTCAAACAGCCTAAACATGTGGTTACCCTCCAAAGGCCAACCTAAATAATTCAGTCTTGTATGCCCTGAGGAAACAAGTCCACCAAGGCACAGGTGTCATCTGAAAGTGCATTCCACAGGGTAGGGGCCACCACTCAGAAGGCCCTTCTCCTGGTGACAGCTAACCAAGGCATCCTGGGGCCAGGCACCTGCAAGAGGCCCCTAGACAATAATCATAGGGAGCACAGAGAGCTGTAACAGGAGAGGCAATCCTGTAGGTTCCAGACCATTAAGGGCTTTTAAAGGTTAACACCAACACCTCAAATTGGATCCAGAGACTAATTGGTAGCCAGTGCAGCTGCCGCAGAATTGGAAGAATATGAGCTGACCATGATGTTCCAGTCAGCAACCTGGCAGCTACATTCTGGACCACCTGCAGTCTCTGAAGCATTTTCAAGGGTAGCCTTGCGTAGAGAGAATTACAGTAGTTCAATCTGGAGGTGACCACTGCATGGATTAATGTGGTAAGGTTTGACCCAGACAAATAAGGAGCCAGTTGGTGGGCCTGGCGTAGGTGAAAAAACGCTGACTGTGCTACAATGGCCACTAGTTTATCCAATGATAGCGAAGAATCCTACCACACCCTGAAGCACTTTACAGAGTCTACAGCTGTCAGATGGACACCATCAAGTAGCAAGAGTGACCCTCCAACTAGCATCTCAGTCTAGGCACATGACCTGTCTTGGATAGATTTAACTTTCAGCCAGCTCCCCCTTAACCATTGGACTACCACATCCAGGCACTGGCATAGTGCCAAGAGCTCTGCCACCAGCTGCTTATCCACACCCAACTTCAAACCTCCAGATGATCTCGGCAACAGAGTGCATATATATGCTAAATAATATCGGAGAGAGGATAGAGCACTGTAGGACCCCACAGTTCAAGTCTTGTCAGGAAGACCTCTCCTCCCCGATATCAATCCTCTGAGAGCGTCCCCAATATGAACCCTCTGAGAGTAGCCGAGCAGCTCTACGTTTTCCTGGATGAGACATCTACTCTGGACCCTCTTCAATCGGGCTTCAGGCCTGGCTTTAGGACCAAGACAGCACTGGTTGCTTTGGTTGACTATCTCAATTTACACCTGGATAAAGACACACCTGCCCTGTTGATCCTTTTGGAACTATCAACGGCCTTCAATACAGTTGACCATTTGGTCCTGATCAATTGCCTTGCCTCCATGGGAGTAAGGGGCACTACCCTTAGTTGGTTCACTACCTCTTCTCGGATTATTTAATATTTCAGCACAGGGGCTACTAAAATCCAGTTTAGCAGCAGAGCACATTTGGCACATCTGTACTTTTATGCTAAATAACTATTTTACAATATGTGAAACTATCTTATTTTCTGAACACACACACACACACACAAAAGCTGCCAAAATGGAAGAAGAATAAAATTCAGGTTAGACATGAGAAATATACATGCTATAAGGGTATTTTTACACAAAAATTATCTTATCACAAAATATGAGTGACTTACCCTTACAAGACCTGGGGCAATACAGGCGCATGGTATCTTCACATGCTTCAGGCACTTTTCATGAGACATAAAATTGCAAACTGTGGAAAATAAAGTATATATGTTAATGAGTCCTCTAAAAGTTTCAACTACACAGTTCATCCTAGAACCACACTCTGTTCCCTCAAGTTTCAAGAACCATGGTCTTAAATACGGGACAGATAATGCTCATGTGGAAACTCTTCTTGGGATTCAGCTTCATTTTCTAATTATCATGACTGTAAAAAAAGGTGAGAAAACATGGGGGTCTTCCAACATGGGTTATCTGCCCCAAGTGGAATGCTTTCAGGAAGCTTTCCCCCCCCTGCTTCTCCACTGCATTGTGATGCATTTGTGCACCTCTCCGGCTTTTCTACAATCTCTCTCAAACCTGCTTTGCGTAGAAGTTTCACGTAAGACTGAGTGAAGCCTGCATGGTTGTTGTGCGGATGGTATATTCAGTTTTTCCTGGCTCACGTGCCAGTCATTTTCCCTGCCCCTGCAGCAGCCATTTCCTCCCCCTGTCATAAGGCAGCTTTTTATTTATTTTTGAAAGCCTTAGAATACCTTTGTACTGATATACCATTGTTACAACAGGTGTAGAATGTTTGCTGAATTCTCAGCTTTCATTTTACAAAGTTAGTCTTTAGCCCCTTCCCTTGTGGAGGTATAAAGGGAAAAAGGCATATATATTCACAAGGAAAAGGGATGGAGACTAATTTAAACAAAAGTTGGGAATACAGAGAACATGCCAAAACTGTTGTTACAATGGTATATCGATATCTAACAATATTCTTGTGCTGATTTTTTTGAAAAAACTGCAAAAGTCCCTATGGTTCCAGGGTGGGTGGGGGTGGCCTCTTCCAGGTGATCAGGGCAGGGAAACCTGCTATGAAGAAGAAGAGTTGGTTTCTATACCCTGCTTTTTTCTGCCTTTAAGAAGTCTCAAAGCAGTTGGCAATCACCTTCCCTTCCTCCCCCCACCAACAAGGCACCTTGTGAGGTAGGTGGGGCTGAGAGAGTTCTGAGAGAACTGTGACTGGCCCACAGCCACCCAGCCGGCTTCATGTCGAAGAGTAGGGGATCAAACCCAGTTCTCTAGATTAGAATCCGCTGCTCTTAACCACAGTACCATGCTTGCTATGTGAAAGCCCCATTGCTGCTGCACTCTATCTTCAACCAGCAATGAGAAAACCAAGATTCCCACCCCTGTGTGGAAGACAACTTAGTCAACATTATACCTAATGTTTAGAAACAGGAGACACCTTTAGATCTGATGTTCTTCAAACATAATAGTTCCTTATCCAGTCTTGTTATTCTGAGCTGGCACCTCTTAAACTTAAACTTTGGGAACTGCCAATACCAGTACTATGGATTACTTCAACTGAACAAGTAACTAAAATCAGTATCAGGTACTTGCAGCACTTAACAATAGATGGAAAGAACTATTTCTTCAAAAGTAAATGCCTTTCAACCTATGGTGTTAGAGAATAGGCTTATAGCTCATGGTTTAAGATGCCAGATGAGAAAATTGGCTGTTTGGGGACATTGTTGCAAACTGTTAAAAATCTGACATTAAGGGAAGCATCCATTTCCTCAGAATGACAGCAGGCAGATTTGCATTAATACCTATTCCAAGCAGATACCCACAATCAGACATTTCAGCATATGTCATACAGAGAAGCTGCTGCTTCTGTTTTTCTGTGAACATCCAACCAAAAATCTCCCCGCATTGAGACTAATTAATCACGTTGTATCAGTGATAATGCTCCAACTCCTGTCACTTTCACAGTCACGTATGTAAAACCTAGGGTCACATTTAACAATTTGAACCTATTTCTCATTACCTGATATGCTATCTAAATTGCCCACTAGACTGATTGTCCTGACACAGCTTAACTCTTGACTTGCTGGTATCTCTTCATCACCACCTAGACTTATGACATTTTCAAGACTAGTATAATTGCTGTCCTTTACCACGCTTTGGATTTTATGGGATGCAACAAACTAATCCCACTGAAATTTCTTAACAATCAATAGGAAATTTTAAACTCAAACACCACAACCTTGCATATATGTACAGTGTGTTAAATGCAATAATCTATGCAATCCAAAGAGTGACAAAATCCTCACCACATGCACAATTCCTGTTTAATGTCATGCACATTTGACTCTTGGAAGAACACGGGATGCCTCAGAGTTTTATTAATTTGAAACAGAGTTTCTTTCTTAAAATTTTTGCATATTTTTATTACTTCTTGTGACAGCCCTTTGAGATTAACCACATTCTATACACTGCACTGCCCAACCCAAATACAAACCAACGTCCAGACAAAAGAGTAGGTATGCATGCAATTCAATCACAGTGACGTCTACATTTTATACATTTAAACAGATACTCATATAGATTATGAAGCAAAGACATCTTCATGATGGAGCATTATCTTTCTTCAAAATATGTCTATAAAAGCCACATTTTCACAGGCACCACAGTTTTCAGAGTCAGGCAAAAATATTTTCTGCATTAATATTTATAAAGCAATTTTTGCGGAGAAAGCCATGAAAAATTCCCATTTCACCACAAAGTTAATTGCTTTCTGTCCATAAACACTGTACCAAGGATTTAACCCCTTTATATTTTACAGTTCCTTTAATTATATTCCAGCATGCTCAAGTTTTCATCCCGTTAACATCAAACGGACGTCTTCAGGATCCACTCTTTGCATATTAATTGAGCTGCTGACAGGAAGTCTAATTAAGATCAATTAAAACTCATAGACAGAGCAACTACTAAGATGCCCCAGCTTCAAAGCTTCAAATGATAAAGGATTATGCTTCTGTAGCCAACAGCTGACAGCTTCAAGGTCATGAGTTCTGAAGCACAGACAGGAGAACATTGGAAAGAAACAGGAGCAATTACACTTCAATCAAAATTAGCAGCATACAAGGAAAAGAGGGCAAGTCCCAGAAAATCCATTAAAATGGCTGAATATGCCTCATCTCATCTGAATAAAAGCCAGTTTCTTCTTAAAATCTGATATGGCCTACCAAGGTGTCAAATCTTAATCATACATATTAGGAAGCAGAGTCCTAATGAGTTCCATTGCGTGTTTGGAACTAGACTGAAAGACAAATCCAGTTGAAATGTCTAGGTCTACCATGCTGATGGCTCACTTGGGGGATGCCAAACTTCATGCTGTGTTCAGATTAAATTATACAGTATTTACCCATTTGTGCCTGGAGCCAATCATTTGCTATACAAATTGATGTAATGCTATACCTAGTCATCTTTCCCAAGAGGTGGCAGGCTATCTCCCCCTAGTTACACAGAATCTAGCTTCTAGACAGCACATGTACACAGTGCTAAAATTAAAGAAACTTTCATTCACTAATCACAGGAGTTTTAATTAAGTCCCCCCAGGCTGTAAGAGCTGAAATTGAGTATACTGCAGTGGCACTGCCCACTTTAAATGTTTTAAACTGGTTTTATTGTATTGATTTAATATTGTTATTTATTATTTGATTGAATTATTTTAAGATTGTATTGAATTTATTGTTGTGAGCTGCCCTAAGTCTGCTTGCGGGAAAGGCAGGAAAGAAATCGAAATAATAAATAAATAATCAGATCAAAGCTGCCTCTATCCACCTTCTCCACCACATAATTCTATAAGCCTCAATCACATCTCCAGTTAATTGTCTTTTTTCAAGACTGAGAAGTCCCAAACTCTCCAGCCTTTCCTCATAGGAAAGATACTTCAACTCCCTAATCCTCTTGATTGACCCTCCTTTGTATTTTTTCCTGTTCAGTAATGCCTTTTTTGAGATACAACATTCAGAATGGCACATAGTATTTTAAATGACATTGCGTCATAGCTTTATACAAGGGCATTACAATTTGGCCATTTTATTTTCAGTCCCTTTCCTAGCATCAGCTTGCCTTTTTCACCACTGTTGCACTCTGGCTAAACATTTTCACTGAGTTTTCCACAACAACCCCAAGATCTTTTAGTCTCAGCCAGTTCAGACCCCAACAGCATATATTTCAAATCAGGATTTTCTGTTCCAATATGTGTCACACTTACATTGTACTCAAACTTCAGATACTTGGCTAGGTTGGGAAGGGAACTCCATACTCTCTTCATTCTGTTTTTAAAAAGCTGAATTCTGTTTAAAATTTGCATAATTCCATCTTAATCGGTATAATATTTTGTCAGCACAATTTGGAGCACAGGAATTGGGAAGGTTTTTTCTTGCAGAATAAAAAGGACTTGTTTTTGCATATACATCCACCAGCCCTGATGTCAGTTACAAAACTCAGGCCTCAAAGAAGATCTGCCATTCTTGCCAGGAAATATTTCATATTGTACAGTTCAGACAGCCAGTTTGCTGTAGTGGTTAGGAGCGCGGACTCTAATCTGGGAGAAACAGGTTTGATTCCCCACTTCTCCATGTGCAGCGGCTGCTGTGAGCTTGAGTCAGTTACAAGTTGTTTCAGAGCTGTTCTCTCAAGAGCAATCCTCAAAAGAGCTCTCTCAGCTCCACCTAGCTCATAGGATATCTGTTGTGGGGAGGGGAAGGGAAAGGAGATTGTAAACCGCTGAGACTCCTTCTGGTAGTGAAGGGCAGGGTATAAATCCAATCTCTTCTTCTCTCTTCTTCTTTTAGGCAAACATTTCTGCAAACTGCTCCATCCCAGCCATTGTCCCTCCTCAAACTTTAACAGGACTTGAGGGGGGGGGGGAATAACAGTACAATCCTAAGCAGAGTTATACCCTTCCAAGGCCATTAAAGTAAATGAGTTCTGAACTGTGTAATTCTTTATAAGATTGTACAGTAATTTTTTTTGCTCTGTCCATACCATTAATTTTGTCTACCTTCACAGAGATCTATGTTTTCTGCTCCAGATTTACATCATCACCTTGCTAAATTTTTCCATATTTTGCATAGCATTTAGTGACTCTTTCATCACATGCAAATCTGGTACACTTCTAAAAAGTCCAAGCCTATTCACACAACACAAAGAGAAGTTTCATTGCACTAAGGAAAGATGCATATATGTACT